TTCTATTCGGTAAAGTCACGTAGGTAAAAAAATAAAACAAAAATCACGACGTTTCGGCCACAACACAAGCGGCCTTCATCAGGTGAAGGGATCAGGCTGTCTCGAGGACAGCGCTGGAGTGAAACACAGCCAAGCTCAGACCGCGACCTTTAAGCTGTGTGCGAGGAAACAAGGTGCCTTGGATCCTTGCAGTCACGAAAGCTTTAAATCTATAATGGACGGAGCGAAGTTCATTCTGTCGCCATCATTCTTATAGAAACTGGAAAGCGCAATTTCCATCATCGGAGTATGACGGCCAGTGGAGATGAGCGCTGCGAAAAATGCTTGATGATGGTGACGATGACGGTGAGAAGACTTCATCCGATGGTGAAGATACAATAGCTCCTGGCGGCGATGATAACGTTGCCCACGTTTGTGTCTCGCATCGCCTAAAAACGAAGGGGAAACCCCTTTCTATGTCAGGCCACCGACTTTTCGATCACCCCTCGGGTTATGTTCCAAATGGGCACTTCCCCCCCCCCCGTCTTGTGACGCGACGCCGTTGACGCAATGTCCCCCCGCGTCTCTCCTGCGGGACTCACCTTTACCTGCTGCACGTTGGGGTTCCACTCGCACATGCGCTCCACCTGCTCGAACAGCTGAGCGTGCAGCTGGTCCACACTGCCCGGGACATCGGCCTGAGCAGCAACAAGACAATGACAAAGTTCCCCCCGTATAACCCTCGTGGACTGTTGGGGCAAGTGCGGATTGCGAGCGCTCATTAAGGCCGCCACGGCACTACAAGGGGGGGTGGGTGGCCTGCACCACGCGCGGCCACCTTTGTCTCCCCAGTGGCGATGTTTTACACATCGCACTTGGTACTCATTTCAGGCTGAGTCGACCTAGGGGAGGCCCAGGACCGGTTCATATAATTGTCACCGGTGTTGGCCGTGAACGGGGATTGAACTCGGGTAGCTGAGTTCGTAGCCCAGCGCGTCAACCGCTACACAACAGCTGCCCACCACAAAAAAAACAAAGACAAAGATCCCCCATATAGCCTTAACAGACTGTAGGGGCAAGTGCTGTTAGCGAGCACCTATGAAGGCCGGAACGGTACACGAAGGCGTGGGTGGCCACCAACCACACCCGACCGCCTTTGTCTCTCCAGAGGCGATGTTTTACACATCGCACTTGGCACTCATTTCAGGCTGAGTCGACCTAGGGGAGGCCCAGGACCGGTTCATATAATCGTCACTGGTGTTAGCCGTGAGCGGGAATCGAACCCGGGTCGCCAGGTTCATAGCGCAGCGTAGCGCTAACCACTACACTACCGCTCCCCATCACACACATGCATGCACACACACAGACAGACACAAACACGGCACTGTGCTAGCCTCAGCTGCGTTGTAGCTTCAACTGCACTGTGGTAATGCAGAAAGAGATAACATGGGGAATTAGATCAAATATAGAATTACCCAACTGCACAAACAATTCCCTTTCGCATTGTGACCTGGTTTGACCACAAACACTGACACTCCTCGTGGTGTCCCGATAATTACATGTCCAGCCTTCTGTGAACCCACTGCTGGAGGAAAGTCATGGGGATTGTTTTTGCCACACTTAGCCACGCCAGTGAGTGTGCGTTGGTGAACATCTGACATCGCTCGCCACCATTTCGTCGAGATTGGGACTCAAACTCAGGGGGCTGGGTTCAAAGCACAGTGCACATCCCACTGACGCTTTGTGAGTGACTGTAATTGTAAAAGAGCCTGTGGCTCTCTGCGTCTCTCCCATCTGTCTGTTTCACCCTGTCTCTCTCCATATCGCTCCATCTCTCTCTCTCTCTGTGTCTCTCCCATCTGTCTGTTTCACCCTGTCTCTCTCCATATCGCTGTATCTCTCCATGCCTCTCTCTCTCCGTGTCTCTCCATTCCTCCGTGTATGTCTCAACTTGTCTGTCCCTCGCTCCTCATTCTGAAGTCTGCGCCGGAATCGCTGACATTGTTCTCTCTCACAGAATCCTGTCCATGTGTCTCTATGTCCCTGTGTCCCCAGCAGGGTAGACAGACAACACGGTGGCGTGAAGCGCATCGACAAGGCTCGACCATTGCAACTCACTACTCTACGGGACGTCTGGCAAAAACATTATGAAGCTGCAGCGTGTACAATTTTTTTGCACGTGTCGTCACGGGTACTGCAAGATCGGACCATGCGCATTCAGTGCCACGCTGAGCCGCGTTGGCTTCCAGTTGCCGAACGAATAAATGATGAGGCCGCACTCATTACACACTCAAAGTGCTTGCCACTAATGAACCACAAATACCTTGGTGATCTCGTCAAGCGGCATAAACCATCACGCGACCTCCGGCCATCCTCGCAGCAGCAGCAGCGGCTTTTGGCTATGGCCATCGAACTAATAGGGTCACGGCATCGCGCGCTTTCAGATGAGCTTCCGTGGCCGTCTTGAAACGCGCTTCCTTCTAATATTAGGACGCCACTGGAGCTGTGAACTTTTAAAACGCACTTTTATTTACAGCAACTGCTTTTTTGTGTTGTCCTTCCACCGCACCTCCGATGAGCACGGTTGGCTATGTGCGGTGCCAAAGAGGTTCAACGAGCACACGTAGACAAACCTCGAGTTTGAAGACCTTGCCAATGTCCGGCAGCACCTTGCTGGACACGCTGTCTCCTTGTCCCTGAAAGAGACAGCGGCATCCGCCAGGTGTCTCAGCGAGCGCAGCAAAAGACGTCAGGCGACCACACAAGTGGCGCTTGTCTCGCAGGGTTGGAGAATCACACAAATGTTGGTAATCAGTACAGTTGGAGGACTAATTGTCGTCTGTTTCCATCTGTAGGGGGATAGAGTGTTGTCCCCTCGCACGAATGGGTTTTTCTCCGAGTGTTCCGGTTTCCTCTCACGTGGTGCAATAAACGCCGTTGATTGACTGAACACATCTTAAAATAAAAAAATAAACCCCAAAGCAGGACCCTCATTGTGGCTTTCCTGGATAAATAAGGACCGTTATTGTGGCTCAGGAGTACGGAAGCCAGGCACTACGGGTCACACGAGGCCGACCACTTATTTATCGGCCACTAACCACTGTTTCTAATTGTCGCACGCTCAGACACTTCTGTCACGGAGAGGGCCTCTTTTTTTGCTGGTGGACCCGCGCACCGTTTTTCTCGTGAATATTGAACAGCGCGAAGGTTGTGTGTGCTCGTGTGTGGGGAGCGGTGGTGTAGCGCCACGAACCTGGCGACCCGGGTTCGATTTCCGCTAACGGCCAACACCCAGTGACCATTATCTGAACCGGCCCCTGGGCCTTCCCTAGGTCGACTCAGCCTCAAACGAGTACTTGGTGCGATGTGTAAACATCGCCACTGGGGAGACAAAGGCGGCCGGGCGTGGTGTTGGCCACCCACCCCCTCGTGTGCCGTGCCGGCCTTCATAGGTGCTCGCTAACAGCACTTGCCCCAATAGTCTGTTAAAGCTATACGGGGGATCTTTGTCGTGTGCTCATGTGTGCGCTCATGTGTGGCTGCCCGTCTATCCCCTGTAGAGATTCCTATTCCCCACCTGCACACACAGGCCGTGTCGTGGGCTATCCCACGAGAGGATTACAGTTTTACATCGTGAGAAACCGATACTTTACGGGCACTGGCCATGCTGTCTTTAGAGCATTTCAGTAACATAACCACGTGCTGGAGCATCCTGATGTAACGCGACGTTGATCACAGACGGCGGAACGAACTAATTTTAAAGGCAGGAGAGGTGATGAGACTTCATTGTTTGTTTGTTTACAGCCTGCGATCTCTACGCAAATAGAAGCACAGAGACAAAGACGCAGAGACAAACACAATGATAGAGAGAGAGAGATGCAGAGAGACAAAGGTGAGACGGATAACGGATGACACGGACACAGACAGAGGGACAAAGAGACAACCACAATCAACACTTGCGTGTCCAGTTTCTCTCGCGTGATTATCAAGTCATCTCTTCGTTATGAGGTGAAAGTTGGGGGGAGGGGGGTGATGAGTGTGGGGGGGGGGGGGTGCTCCAGTGTCCGGTGGGTGGGGGGCTCCTCACCTCTCCACCCTCGCTGTGCCACGGGCCGCTGTCTCCCTCATCCAGGATGGAGAGCACGCGCTGCAGCGCCTCGCGGCCCTGCCGGAGGTAGTGCAGCTCGGCGTCGGACACCGCGGCGTCAGCGCCTCCGCGGCTCGCGCTCTCCCCCAGTGCTGCTCGGCGGGGCAGGAGGACGGAGGGGGGGGGTCACGTGATGACAATCATGACAAAGCTGGGATATCTGGGATATTCAATCATTATGATGATCATTATCGGTCCGATTTATTGCTTGCGCCGTATGGATATGGGTTGAGTGGCACACGATATATCGATGTCGTAGAAGTTGTCGGTCCAGCTCCTGGCTTCAGAGGACATTGGAGTGGACTAACCGATCCTCAAATGCTCCTCGAGAATTTCCCTTGCTGCTCGACAGCTCAAGCTTCTGCACGACATTTCATGGGCGTCTAAGACGTCTTGGGAGCCGAGCGAGGAGATGGTAACCGTCGTCACCCGTCTGAGATGTTCATCACAGTTTGCGATCATCTTTGGCCGGGCACAGGGCCCATCAAGGGGAAGAGAGTGAGCAATGGGAACTACACTCATCTCCCGTTGGCCGTGGACATTCAAAATTCATATGGTCCGTGGCAGTGCCGATTAAGATAGTGCGGGGCCCGTAGCATATGTTATCATGGAGCCCTAAATTAAAAGACAACACGCAAATATTAAAACACGTACATTTTTTTTACTTGCATAGTAAAGTAATTGTACTTTTTTAATTTGCTATACGGCCAGATAATACGACAAATCGCTAACTTTAAACACACAGCCGTTCATAAAAGTTGAAGGCAGTATAGTACTATAGTAATAGAGCAAGTGCAGGATCAATGAACCGGAATTGACAACTTGAAAGCGTTTAGCGCGGGGCCCTTGAAAGTGCGGGGCCCGTAGCTACGACACATGTGTAGTAGCTACTACATATGTAATAGCTACTACATATGTAGAAGCTCCTTGTGCTACTGGGATTATTTTGGCGCTGGTCCGTGGGTAATTGCCTCGTGCAAACGGTGCGGCATGGATCAGGAGGCCCCAAGGGGGAGAATCCTGGACGGGGATGGGGCCCACTGCACCCCCTGCCCCCAGGGCCCCGCACCAACGCCCTCACCCGGCAGGAAGCGCTGCAGACCGCAGCCGGGCGCGCGCAGGGAGCCGAAGGCGGAGGATGCGTGCCGAGCCAGCGAGCCCAGCGCGTCGTGCTGGATGGCGGTGCGCACGAGGCGTCGCGTGCTCACGCCTGCGGCCCACGCGCACAGAGAGAGAGGGGGGGGAGGGGAGGTGGCTTCATCGAGTGAACACGGATGACGGGCGACAACATCGGGCGGTGGCGCGCCTTCGTAGCCACGAAGAAGGGTGCGGGGGAGAGAGGGGGGGGGGTCATCGTCCAAAACGTCGCCCACCGCGAGTCTTTGTTGCTCGTGGCTGTGCGCCGCCGTTCAATGCGGAAGCATCACCAAAACAATGCGGGGAGACGAAATTCGTCGAAGTTTGACGGTGAACGCAGCGGCCACCGAAGACCGAAGCAACTGAACGAGTTTGTATGAAGATGCAGATTGAGATAATTGCGTCACAATATCAGAAACTTCAAATCACTGACGAAGACTCAACAAGATCATTGACCCTCAACACATTGCGTTAAAATATTCACCAGTTCATTGATTGGCTATTTGAGGTAAATGCGATTGCATGCTCCTAAACACCAATGTTTAATTCCGAACAGTTAAAGACGTATTCGGCTGCCACACGACCCAACGGAAGGGCGTGAGACGGACAGGCGCGAGAGAGCGACAGCATTTCCAAGAGGCTCAACTGGCGACTCAAAGTGAGCCGGTTATTCCCTCACCTCCATCAGCCCCGCCCACCCTTGCATAACCACGCCCACTCGCCCACTAGCCCCGCGCCACTCTCGCATAACCACGCCCACTAGCCCCGCGCCACTCTCGCATAACCACGCCCACTCGCCCACTAGCCCCGCTCCACTCTCGCATAACCACGCCCACTCGTCCACTAGCCCCGCTCCTCTTACCCGCCGCTGTTGTTGGATGGCGACTGCCTCCGACTGCCCCAATAGCACAAACTCCCTCCCGCCGACCTTGACACTGCTGCCACCAATCATCAGCAAGTCCGATCAGCTCCACATCCTGTGTCACATCAGCCTATCCCTTCTCTAGCCCGTGCCGCGCCCGTTTAGCCCAGTCTATCCGGTCAAACATAAGCTGCTTGGTCATGCGATGGCTGTGTATGAAGGCTACGTGGTACAATCCAACGCAATCTCGTCTGCTGGAGCAGCTAGCTCACATGATAGGACTGTGTCCATATCTTTCAATGGTTTGTGAGCTCCTCACACAATCCAGTCTGGTGAAACCCAGGATGAATCGTAGGCAGGCCAGCCTGAACGTTTGTAACCGGCGCAGATGTTCCATTAGAGGGGTGTCTGCTTCTAAAGCATAGAGAAGGGTGGGCATTACTGTGGCCGAGAAGACTTGGAACTTTGTATGGAGCGATAGGGCAGGTATTTTCCACACACCATTACCGGTCCACTGATTTGAAGTGAGACCTCTGCTGCCAAACCAGAGCTGGCCACAATTGCCCCATCACTCGTGAAGAGCTGAAGGGGTGCAGAATTTGATGACCCAGACAGGTGCTTTGTTTCGGTGGCACGCTCCAGGTTCAGCCCTTAGAGTCTCTAACTTACAATGAGCAGCCATTACCAGATCATCAGTATACGCAACGCGGTTGACCAATAGGGAGCCATCCCTGGATACACAAACACATGCACACACACACACACGGGAATATACACAAGACAAAAATCCCCCCAGTGTAGCGTCCAACAGACTGTCAGGGTAATTGCTGTGAGCGAGTAGCACACAACCACGAAGGCCGGCACGTTACACAAGGGGGTGGGTGACAAGCTCCATGCCCGGCCGCCTTTGTCTCTCTCACACACGCACAGGCGCTGACCACAGTTACCTGTGAGCGTGCGGCAGTGCTGGTAGGAGGTTCCGCAGCACAGCTTGAATGTAGCAGGGAGCATGGTACCCACACGTGGTCTCTTACTGCCTCCCTATGCCGCTCGCAGCGCCTCTGCGCGTCCCTTCTAAGGTCTCGTCCTTTATAGAGACGCCTCGGCAGACGATTGCCCTTATTATTTTATTTACTTTGTCGATTCGCGCGTACGTACGTTCACTTTATTGGCACGGCATGCGGAGGGAGTGGGGGGAGGTTATTGGTCGGCAGGAGAAGATGAGCGCAAGGCCACGTGGAACATCTCACGGTCAGAGCCATCACTCCGCCCGTCAGTCTTTGCGTGAGCCCGCGAAACGCGAAGCCTTGAAACGGCATCGCACACACAAGGCCGATTAGACCCATAAAAAGTGAATATATTTGTATTTCACATCTTTCCACCTAAGGTTAAAAAGCGTTTCGTGCGTGCGCGCACGCGGCTGTGTTCCTCTGTAAGGGGGTCGGCGGGGAGGGGGGCAATGGTGGCTGGCAACGTCCAGAGGAGACGAGTTGTGTCCCTGGCAGACACTCACCCCCAGAGACACCCCCAGAGACACCCCCAGAGACACCCCCAGACACTCACCCCCAGAGACACCCCTAGACACTCACCCCCAGAGACACCCCCAGAGACACCCCCAGAGACACCCCCAGACACTCACCCCCAGACACTCACCCCCAGACACTCACCCCCAGAGACACCCCCAGACACTCACCCCCAGAGACACCCCCAGAGACACCCCCAGAGACACCCCCAGACACTCACCCCCAGAGACACCCCCAGAGACACTCCCAGACACTCACCCCCAGAGACACCCCCAGACACTCACCCCCAGAGACACCCCCAGACACTCACCCCCAGACACTCACCCCCAGACACTCACCCCCAGAGACACCCCCAGACACTCACCCCCAGAGACACCCCCAGACACTCACCCCCAGAGACACCCCCAGACACTCACCCCCAGAGACACCCCCAGAGACACCCCCAGAGACACCCCCAGACACTCACCCCCAGACACTCACCCCCAGACACTCACCCCCAGAGACACCCCCAGAGACACCCCCAGACACTCACCCCCAGAGACACCCCCAGAGACACCCCCAGACACTCACCCCCAGACACTCACCCCCAGAGACTCACCCCCAGAGACACCCCCAGAGACACTCCCAGACACTCACCCCCAGAGACACCCCCAGACACTCACCCCCAGAGACACCCCCAGACACTCACCCCCAGACACTCACCCCCAGACACTCACCCCCAGAGACACCCCCAGACACTCACCCCCAGAGACACCCCCAGAGACACCCCCAGACACTCACCCCCAGAGACACCCCCAGACACTCACCCCCAGACACTCACCCCCAGAGACTCACCCCCAGAGACACCCCCAGACACTCACCCCCAGAGACACCCCCAGACACTCACCCCCAGACACTCACCCCCAGAGACACCCCCAGACACTCACCCCCAGACACTCACCCCCAGACACTCACCCCCAGACACTCACCCCCAGAGACACCCCCAGAGACACCCCCAGAGACACCCCCAGAGACACCCCCAGACACTCACCCCCAGACACTCACCCAGAGACACCCCCAGAGAGACCCCCAGAGACTCACCCCCAGAGACACCCCCAGAGACACTCACCCAGAGACACCCCCAGACACTCACCCCCAGACACTCACCCCCAGACACTCACCCCCAGAGACACCCCCAGAGACACCCCCAGAGACACCCCCAGACACTCACCCCCAGATACTCACCCCCAGAGACACCCCCAGAGACACCCCCAGAGACACCCCCAGACACTCACCCCCAGAGACACCCCCAGAGACACCCCCAGACACTCACCCCCAGAGACACCCCCAGAGACTCACCCCCAGACACTCACCCCCAGACACTCACCCCCAGACACTCACCCCCAGAGACACCCCCAGAGACACCCCCAGAGACACCCCCAGATACTCACCCCCAGAGACACCCCCAGAGACACCGGCCACATTGATCAAAAGCGATGCCTACAAAAGTCGGAGGCACGACGCAGGGTCAGAAGGGCTGCTTGCTGTGTCCCGGACACGGACACAGATGTCGGGACACAGATGATGATGTTGTTGTTGTTCGGAAGTTTTGGATTATCCAATCTGTGTTCGGACACAGCTCTTTTGTTTAAAGTTATTTTAAAATCCACCCCCATTATCCCACCCCACTATTCAGTCGGAACACGTCGGGTGCATAGGCCTGGCGGATATTCCCGTAGCGTTGTTTGTTGTTATGTTTGTTGTTTTGTTTGTTATGTTCGTTGTTATGTTTGTTGTTATGTTTGTTGTTAAGTTTGTTGTTATGTTTGTTATGTTTGTTGTTATGTTTGTTGTTATGTTTGTTGTTATGTTTGTTGTTTTGTTTGTTATGTTTGTTGTTGTGTTTGTTGTTATGTTTGTTGTTATGTTTATTATGTTTGTTGTTATGTTTGTTGTTATGTTTGTTATGTTTGTTGTTTTGTTTGTTATGTTTGTTGTTACGTTTGTTGTTTTGTTTGTTATGTTTGTTGTTATGTTTGTTGTTATGTTTGTTGTTATGTTTGTTATGTTTGTTGTTATGTTTGTTATGTTTGTTGTTTTGTTTGTTATGTTCGTTGTTATGTTTGTTGTTATGTTTGTTGTTATGTTTGTTATGTTTGTTGTTATGTTTTTTGTTGTGTTTGTTGTTTTGTTTGTTATGTTTGTTGTTTTGTTTGTTGTTGTTTTGTTGTTGTGTTTGTTGTTATGTTTCTTATGTGTGTTGTTATGTTTGTTATGTTTGTTATTATGTTTGTTGTTATGTTTGTTGTTATGTTTGTTATTATGTTTGTTATTATGTTTGTTGTTATGTTTGTTATTATGTTTGTTGTTATGTTTGTTGTTATGTTTGTTATTATGTTTGTTATTATGTTTGTTGTTATGTTTGTTATTATGTTTGTTGTTATGTTTGTTGTTATGTTTGTTGTTATGTTTGTTGTTATGTTTGTTATGTTTGTTGTTTTGTTTGTTATGTTTGTTGTTATGTTTGTTGTTTTGTTTGTTATGTTTGTTGTTATGTTTATTGTTTTGTTTGTTATGTTTGTTGTTATGTTTGTTGTTTTGTTTGTTATGTTTGTTGTTATGTTTATTGTTTTGTTTGTTGTTATGTTTGTTGTGTTTTTTGTTATGTTTGTTGTTATGTTTGTTATGTTTGTTGTTATGTTTATTGTTTTGTTTGTTATGTTTGTTGTTTTGTTTGTTGTTTTGTTTGTTGTTTTGTTTGTTATGTTTGTTGTTATGTTTGTTATGTTTGTTGTTATGTTTGTTGTTTCGTTTGTTATGTTTGTTGTGTTTGTTGTTATGTTTGTTGTTATGTTTGTTGTTTTGTTTGTTATGTTTGTTGTGTTTGTTGTTATGTTTGTTGTTATGTTTATTGTTTTGTTTGTTATGTTTGTTGTTATGTTTGTTGTTATGTTTGTTGTTTTGTTTGTTATGTTTGTTGTTATGTTTATTGTTTTGTTTGTTATGTTTGTGGTTATGTTTATTATGTTTGTTATGTTTGTTGTTATGTTTATTATGTTTGTTGTTATGTTTGTTGTTTTGTTTGTTATGTTTGTTATATTTGTTATGTTTGTTGTTTTGTTTGTTATGTTTGTTATGTTTGTTGTTATGTTTGTTATGTGTGTTGTTATGTTTGTTGTCATGTTTATTGTTTTGTTTGTTATGTTTGTTGTTATGTTTGTTGTTATGTTTGTTGTTTTGTTTTTTATGTTTGTTATGTTTATTGTTTTGTTTGTTATGTTTGTTATGTTTCTTGTTTTGTTTGTTGTTTTGTTTGTTATGTTTGTTGTTATGTTTGTTATTTGTTTGTTGTCACCCGGCGTTTTGCTGCGGGCCTACGTTCTTGCGTACAACAAAAACCTAACTAAAAATATTTCACAAATAAAATAATACGTAGAAATATGATTTGTTAATATTACATGTTATGTTGTGTATAATGATATAGAATAAATATTATAATATTAATATATAATAATATATCACGTAATAATTATTATAAATATAAGGAACAAAACAGGTGGACTACTCAACAAATGTGGCTGTCGCCTAATGAAGCTGGTTGTAATTACTGGCGAAACGTCGTACTCAGTTTGTAAATGTTGTGGCTTGGCTCTCCAACACAGCGGTTAGTGCTGTACTAGTGACGAATTGGCCACGTTCTGTTTACGTGACAACCCTTACTAGTTGGCTGTGTCGGGTGGTGGCGGGTTTTAACGACACATTTATACATTTACGCGATCTAACGCAAAAAAACCCCCTCTATTCTGAATAATATATTACATCTAAAAATATGATATATAAGAAGTAATTTTAAAGAATTGCGCAAATTAAACAAATGGTACGCTGGTTCCCCGCTCCTCTGGACAACGACACACGATGTGCACACGTGGTACAGCAGCGCATTGAGCACGGAAGAGCACAATTGAACACTGCTCGTCACGTGAATGTGGAATTTCTAACACCAGCTCAAGGAGTCATTGGTGGCCCGAGACAGGATATACAGCTTCGGCCCACTTTCAGTGGACACAATCCTTGTGCGACGATGGAAAACATCGAGGCAAGAGATGCAGATGCCGTGAAAGAAGAGAACTGTGAACGACACAGAGAGACACGGAGACGACAGACTTGAATCGGACGTTTGTTTTAAATTTACGGTTTACGTGGATTTTAATTTTCAGCTGATATTTGATGCGCTCATATGTTTGATGTTTTGTTTCAAAATTAAGTTCAGGGCGTGTTTTTATTTACGTTCGAGCAAAAAAATATGACTGCCTCTATTCAACAATAAATAAATTAACCAAAACATCCATGATTCGTCAAGCGTCCGTCACTTTTGTTTATACCTTGAAAGGCGACCCCCCCCCCCCCAACTGTACTGGGAAGATAGCGCAGAGAAATCTCAAATCTCAGAACTGGGATTCCAGCAAAATTAGTCGCGCAATGCGACTACAACCTCAGCCATCTGAGTTTGACTCCCGGCCGCGGCTAAAATCGGCGGCGCGTGACAACTGAACGGATCCTGGGCCACCCTAGAGCCATGTACCCCCTCGTTGACACGCGTGGTG